CTTCAAGTCTGCAAGATATTTTGAGATTTAAAAAATTGCTTGTCTTTCCCGTTTATCTTAGTTAAAAGGAGACCCGTCTACTGAGCTCCTGTCATTTGTGTTTTTTTCCCTAAGAGAATGAAGGGGATTTCTCAGAGAAAATCTGCCGGGGCCTCGTAGTATATTCTCTGGTTCAAAAAGAACAGAATTCTGGTTTTCAAAAGGAGTTGTGAAAAGATTAGAAACATTAAAAAACAGGAGGAGAGATTACAAATATAGGCCTCCATTTCAGAATGGATGAATGTACATACCGTTTTATTATTATTATTATTCTATCATGTATGTCCTTTCTTATTCTGTTGTGATTATTTTAAAACAGTATTTTGAAGTAATATATTATTTTAACCTGAGCAGGTAAAAATTGCCAGAGGGAAACAGTGGATCTGTTTCAACTATTTATTACGATCAGTTATTTCTACTTGAAATAGTTTCAAATATTAACACAGTTTTCTCTTATTTCTCTTCAAATCTGCTTTGAAACTACATTAGTAAAATGGTTGCGCACCTTCATGTAAATATTTCTAGAAAATGATGGGTGGAAATAATGCCTTTTGGTATAATTCTGGTATCTTTATGCTACTTTGATTTTACTTTTAAAATTATTAATTCTTCTTCTCTATTTACTTATAACAAAGGGATAATGAAATTAGTGTTAAGAGTTCATATTTGCATTCCTTAGATCTATATTTTGAATTAATTGAATTCCATTATCCAGTAGAAATCACTTTCAAGTCCATTGATTTTGATGGGAAGATTAATACATATTAGGTAGGAAGTAGGTAAACGGTTGTGTAACTTAAAACCTGATCATCCTTTGGTGGATTGTGCCCATATTCCAGGAGTAGTAACTACTTTATAGATATGTATGAAAGGTGCAAATGCTGCCTAAATACAACTATTTTGTTTTATAGAGTAGTATTTTACAAATGCTTTTCCAACTTCTCTTGAGCGATTGCTTTATAGGCATTTATGAGCCATTTAAGATTTGCTTGCTTACCAAATAATTTCACTGGGATATAACAATAGACATATTTTCTCAAGTACATTAGTAATTGATATCAAGATGATTTTAAGGGATTTGGGTTAGGTGACATTTCACTGGAAATAAATTAGAACCTGCAGGGGAGGGGACACTAGCTTTTTCTAGTTTTGTCCTAGATGTCTTTCAACAGTTTTCTTTCACACTTCTTTCACATTTTGAATCTTTCTTTCTTTTTTTCTTTCTTTCTTTCTTTCTTTCTTTCTTTCTTTCTTTCTTTCTTTCTTTCTTTCTCTCTCTCTCTCTCTTTCTCTCTCTCTCTCTCTCTCACTCTCTCTCTCTCTCTTTCTCTCTCCCTCCCTCCCTCCCTCCTTGTATATGACAGAATCTGATGAATATGGTTTTGCTTGAGGCATTGAAGAGTGGGATGGGATGGAAAAGGATGGGAGAGAGGGAAGAGGAGGCAATCTGAACTCACACTTAAAAATCCGTAGCTGAAATACAGCTCTGCCCACATTTCACTTTTAGAAAAAGCACCAAGCTCCCGGTGCGTGTGCGTATCTGAGAGCGTGTGCGTATCTGAGAGAAACAGTGAGAGAGGTTGGTAAGCCTGTTCTTCAAAACAAATCCCTTTCCATGGAAAAACTAGTGAGTCCTGAAAGTTGTGATCTTAGGCCTGCTTTCCAGGGAGTAAGACTCATTAAATGCAGCAGGATCACCCTCAGTCTAGGCCTGCACAGGATAGCCCTATGAACGGAAATGGGTGATTCTTTGTAGAGCCAAGCAACCCTTGGTCTCCTCTGCAATCCTTGATGGAGAGCACCCCTTCCCCCACACAAATGCTCCTGATGGTGAAAGAGTGTCCTCAACTTTAATGCTCTGTTCTTTGCTGTGAAATAGCTTCGCTTTCTAGGTAGTCTTGTCAGCTCAGGTTGTGTAATCTGTTCTTGTCTGCTGGGTCTCGAAGACGATGGGGAAAGGAAAGATTTGGGGAAGGATGACAATATGCACTGGTTGGATATGATGCAACCTGGGGTCTCCAGAAGCATAGGTTTTAGTAGTTTAACTGGAACGTGCATTGGTGCATGTAGGAGATGCTAGTCCCTGAATCTCACTCTGGCTTTCCTTGTTTGATGAGTAGGAATTTGGTCCAAATCTACAATGTATGCACAGCTCAATCAGTTTCTTGATCATAGATCCTTTTTCAAAACCACGAGTTTGTCTTATAAAAAGGAAGTAATGAACAGAAATGTAACTTCTGAGACTCTTTGGCACTGAATGGCCAAAGTCTGTCTGTACACATTTGATTTATAGGTCACCTGGTAGACATATTTCAGGTACATTTGAGTTTTTCTCTTGCACTTTCTCTCACATTGGTTTGATCTCAAAACCATATTATATATGAATTGGCACAAGACCACACTAAAGCAGGATTAAGCATTTTATGATGCAGTGTGTTGTCAGAACTCAGCTGTTGTTTTAGCATGGTTATATAAAACAGGCAATTATGTTAAGCAAATATTTGTTTTAGCATAGTGTATATGTGAGCACACACTTTTTGTTTTGTTAACCTGTATATTATATATTGTGTGAATGCAATCCATAAGCAACAATTTATTTGCTTTAAAGTAGTATTTTAAAAATGGTTAAACTGGCTATAGCTGTTTGAAACTACCATGATTTTATGTAAAACTGTCACACACTAGAGTAATTAGAAAACAGATCACAAATAGACTTTTATGGTTGAGTGGCCTGGATGGATCAGAGTGATGAGAATTGCATTTCGATACCTCCAGAGGACATACATTTTTTTTGGGGGGGGAGATAGGATTTAAGTTAAGAATAGGCTTGAGATCTAATTGTTGTGTATTCACTAAGATTAGGGAGAATTTTTTTAATATTCCTGTAATGGCAGCTCTGATGGAAGGAAAACGTTGCCATTTTTTGTCCTATTTAGAAAATTCCACTTGGTGACAGTGGTATGTGTGTGTCTGTGTATACATGTGCATGCGATTGATTTATCCTTAAATGCAGACATAGCCAATGTTTGCAAACAACACTCAATTCTTTCTATTCTTCATCATTTACTTAGAGTAGCCACAGATCATTAAGTGCTAGGCAACAACAGTGTAGTCAACCATCATGGCCATATAGATTGTATGTCAGGAATGTTCTTGCCAAAATGCTAAATGCTAAAATTTTGGGGATGTGCAGCTAAATGTATATTCAGCAAAGCATTTTTGTATTTTGTTAAACTAGGCCAGCCGCAATTTATGTTGGGACATAAAAGTTTTCAAATAATTTATCAGGACAACTGGAAGGGCAAGTCTTGTTCTCATCTGGAAATGAACAAGCTCACTTTGTTCCTGCATGAACAGAAGTAAGAACAGCCTTCTCCAACCTGATGCTCTCTAGATATGAATATTGTTAACTGAATATTTTTTTAGTTGAAGTCCAACATATTTAGCAAGTTTCAAATTGGGAAAGGCTGTGCTGAAAGGCTGCATTCCCTTCTGTTTTTGCAGGTGCAAACATTTCTTCCTATTCTGATATGTTTAGCTGTATATGAATTCATTTGGTGAGAACTTTTCATTGATATGTGTGTGTGAAAATTAATGCTGCTATATGAATCCAGATCATGGTCAGTCTTAGTCCACTGGAACCTATATTTATGGTGTAAATTCCTGTATTTTGAATCTCTGAGATATTTTCAAATTTTGAACTAAAAGCATTTTTGAAGAAGGAAGCACTACTGACCAATCATTTGTAGAATTTATTTCCATTATTCTGACCTCCAGAAAGCATTGGGCTTCTGTGAATTTTTTTTATTCATGTAACCTAGGATTTCTGGGAGTTGTATTCCAACAAATCTGGAAGGCACCAAATGGGAAAAAACCCTAACAGTAGTATACACCTGACTTCACCATTACTCATCCCTATGCCCAACATTTTTCATTTTCCTGCATGAATAAGATGTTACTATCACTCCTGCCTTTTGATTTTCTCTCCCTCCCTCTCTGCTTAGCAGGTAGAAAAATTGACCCTAGCTTAGAAGCTAATAAGGATTGGAGCTGATTAACTGCATGATTATGTCCATGTAGTCACTAAGATCTCAGCTCCTTTAAAATTCTGCTTCACATTTCCTGAATTCAAATACAGATTTTGAATCTCCTAATGTGATTTGATTAAGTAATAGCCTTGAATTTAACTAAAACAAAAGGAGTAAGTTATCTGAAGGAAAATGATTGATTTCAGAAGAGGCGTTTGGTTAAGGAGTACAGATAGTCTCAGTTCATCTAGTAAAGTGTTCAAAGTTACAACGACATTGAAAAAAGTGACTTATGACTATTGCAGCTTGGCAGCTGACTCATATTTATGATGGTTGCAGCATCCCAGGGTCATGTGATCACCTTTTGTGGCCTTCTGACAAGCAAAGTCAATGGGGAAGCTAGATTCACTTTGTTGCTAACTTAACAATTGCAGTAATTCATTTAACAGCTGGGGGAAGGAAGGTTGTAAAATGGGGCAAAATTCACTTAAGAAATGTCTCACTTAACAACAGAAATTTTGGGTTCAATTGTGGTTGAATACCTGTATCTATTTTTAACATTGGTCTTCCCTAACCTTACTGAAAATACTTTTAATGGGGAGGTCTTTCTGCTTTCTGACTGCCTTTTCTCTTCTTCATTCTGTATACAATCTTATTTTATTTTTTTAACCTCTGTTGTAGGTGTGAGCTGTGTGAAGATTCTACCATCCCTGATGACTCAAATAAGTCAGGAAACATCTAAAGTGGAACATAGGCAGTTCTGTTAGGGATTTTCTGGATTGGAAACCCCCTCGCTGGATCTGAGTTGAACTGCATGGTCCATCCTGCCCTTTGTGGAGGAAGGTGCCTTCATACTTGTCTTCAAACCTGGATCTCTGGAGATAACTTGTCTGTGTGATTGGGTTGCAAATCAAGGCCCAGTCTGCACCTTCAGAGATGTACCAGAGCTTAGCCATGGCAGCCAACCATGGCCCACCAGCATATGAAGGGACCAGTAGTTTTATGCACACCGCAGCTGCTGCTTCTCCTGTCTACATACCCACCACAAGGGTCACTTCTATGATTCCCAGCCTGCCTTACCTCCAAGGGAGTGGTTCATCCCAGCAAGGCAGCCCAGTCTCCAGCCACTCCATTTGGACTCAGCCTGGAGCTGAGAGTGTTGCTTACAACCCTGGATCTTCTCATCCATCAGTATCCCCAAGGTTCTCCTTTGCTACCAGCACCCCCATCCCAGCAACTACTTCCAGAGAAGCATCTGCTTATAACAGTTCTCTTAGTATCTCGGCCAACAGCAGGGACCAATATGCTCGGAGTTTCAGTGGGTCCTATTCCAGTCCATATCCAGCAAGTTATATGACCCCAGAATTGGGCACCAGCTGGACTTCATCTCCCTTTGATAGCCCCATGCTCCACAACCTTCAGAATCGGGGTACTCCAGGAGTTTCAAGGCATACCAACATAGGTAAGAATGAATCTTCTAAACTTTATAATGCCAAGAAAGGTAATATTATTTTCAATCTGGGATGGATTGCATGACTTTGATTAAATTTCAAAAGATGAAAAAAATGCTGGGCTGCTCATCAGTGAATTTAACAGTTGTATAATAAAATGCATTTTTCACATTATGTCAGTGAGGTAGTCTTTTGAGGATCCCTTTTTTCAGAAATTTCATGTGACAAGTCTTTTACTTCCTTCAGTGGGAATTAATTTAGCAGCTATCATAAACAAAAGAACTCAGGGAGATAGTATCTACAATTTCTTCATCAGCTTTAGGAGACAGCAATATTGGTCCCAATAACATAGATATTAAATGTGTCTTTTAAAGGGAGACAAGTCCAAGAATCAACAGTATTGTGATGGAGCTGTATTTTAAAAAGTGCACCTGAGATTAATGTCAGGGAAATTCTGTAACTTCCAATTCCACATAATTCTTGTTTTTACCCTATTTATAATTTACTGCACTGCTATGTGACCTGTTTCCTATTAGCTTTATTCCTTTGCAATTGCAGTTCTGTCACATTGGGACTGGGAGGAAGTCCTTATGAATACATTGGGAATTGTTTCTGGTTATGTCTTCTTGTCCCCATGATCTTCCTCCATCCTATAATTCTGAACTGAAAAAGATCTGCTATTTACTTAGCTTAGGGTACAAGCAGCAAAAGTGTGGTGGCTTTGTTTATTACTTTGTATCATTTGATGCCAAAGGAGGGTGTTGGCTAACCTTTGAGGTCTTTGCAACATTAAGCAATTTTTAATCTACTATTAAAAATTGTATTGCATAAAAATCTTAACTTTAAAGCTTTAGTTCATGTGGATTAAACAATTAAGGCTCAAAGTACTAACCTATACAGTATACTTTGTTAGCAGTACAAACGTTGCCGGTTATTTTGAGGAAGGCATATTCTTTGGGACAGTATTTCTCAACCTTGGCAACTTTCAGATGTGTAGGCTTCAAATCCCAGAATTCCCCAGCTAGCCAAGGTTGAGAAACACTATTTTGGAAGATAGGCAGAAGGGCACTGCCTCTTGTGAGCAAAATTATTCCTAGACCACCCACTGCCTGTTCAGGTGTAAAGTGCTTCATGTTTATTTGCCTAGGAATCCTTTTTTTTAGAAAAAATAAATAAATTAGAAATTATTATACGTACACATTCAGTAATAAATTGGTAACCTATGGACTGTTAGAAGCACGGCCATTCCAATCTCTCAGTCAGCCAGGCTCTGTGTGTTCCTTTACCTTTTTTTTTCTTTGACCATCTGTAATGTTGATACCCAATAGTATGTTTTTCTGCAAAAATTTATTCCATTGATGTTTTAAAAACTGAATAGGATGTGTATGAGAATCTTCTTAGAAGAAGCTGGCCACAGGTATAGATGTTCTAAGGAAAAATAAATTGAGGGTTTTGAGCAATCCATTACTTGGTATGATGTGCTTAGTATTTTGCAAGGGTGTGTGTGTGTATGTGTGTATATGTATATGTATATATATCACAAGATTTTGCCTATATATATAGGTAATACCTGTGAAATCTTGTTGTAATCTAATTTCAACACTCTTTAGTTATGATATGAGATTTTACTTTGGTTTCAGTTCAGAGTTATCAAGGTTTGCTTACTGATTAAACACAATTGTAGAGCAGAGGGAGTAAATGTAAATCTGAAATTTAAATTAGCCCATGGACAAGGACCAGGAAGGATATGCAAATTACAACACAGAGTTTTCAAACTGTGTTCTGCAGAAATAATAAGGGAGAAAAGGATAGTTCACACAGATACAACCATGGGTGGCCAAGGCATAGTGGAAAAGGTGGGGCTTCTTGTCTGACATTCAAAACACTCACACAGTGTCACATCACTCTGTGTGAGCCTGAGAGACAGCCAGTGGCAGGGTGAAAATGGTTGCCACAATTTTTCCCTGAGAAAATGCCTCAGCCATGCAGCTATGGCCATCTTTTGGTGAATGCATAGGCTGCTTTCTGCCAAGTCATCCTGTCCCAGCTCTGCTTCCTTTCCCCCTTCCCTGAGAAAGGTGAAATGGAAGTTTTGGGGTGAATCTGTATGATTCAGATAACTTCAGTATATAAATATGTATATCTTGATTAGAATGAGCACAAATTTGATTCATAAATTTGATTTTTTTGATTAATTTGATTAATAAATAATTTTCATTTTATTGCCCATTTTCTATCACTAGAGGTTTGCCCCTTGATTAGAATTTCAGGAAATTTATTTTTTAATTAACAGGATCCATAGCCTAAAAAGTTTGAAAATCTCACAACACTACATAGTAAAATTTAGCATCTTTGTTGTATTTCATTAATATTATAGTAGCTTGTTCACATTTTTGCTTTATTAGTGCAATACGGTTATTGTATAAAACACTTAAATCCTCCTGGACTTTCATTTCATGGATTTGCAATTTATTATCACTAAGGCCAAAAAATGAATCAATCACCATACTTTTTCATCTCTCTCCCTCCCTCCCTCTCTTCTGATTCAAGTATTTAGTAATGTTTCTGCTCCTATTCATAGAGAAGATGAGAGGGAAGTGAGGAGAAAGAAAAAGGAAGTTAGGATTTGTTTGATTAGGTTAGCGTCCTATAAGGTAGAATTTCCCAGCCTTTCAGATGCATTGGACTTTGAGTCCCATAATCCTCTTCCAACCTGTGGGCAGCAGAATGAGAAAGGCTTCTAGAAATACTTTCTTGTGATGATTCAGTCAGTTTTCCTATTAAGTTTCTTTTCTTCTGCTTTTCTTTTAAGAAGGTCAGGAGACAAGATAATTAACTGCCTTTCTGCTTTTTCAAAACATTATAATAACCCTAAGAGGTTGGTTAAATTGAAACAGAAATGGCTAAGGATGGTTCAAGGTTAACCAAAGTTTCTCATCATAAGGTGGAAAGTTGAATTTTAGTTTCCTGAAATTGGCCTGTTATTCTGACCAGTAGATCACACTGGAATTTGATGTGAGTTCAGTTCAGCCATCCTTTGATGGATAGTTTTATGTATCTCTAAATCAATTTGCCTCAGAGATTTTTTTTTTCCATCCAGGCCCTCCTCTGGAAATGGAACAAAATTAAGAATCTAAAATTGGGACAAAATGATTATTGATTGGAGGCAATAATTCTAAAGGGTGGAGAGGAGTGAAAAATTCAGCTCTCGTTTTCCTTGAGATTCTTTTGAACTTTACATAAGTCTGTTTTTACATGAATAAACAAATTGCATTAAACTTCTGTTACATTTACCTTATTTTTAAAAAGATTTGATTCATTTAATTAAATTAATTTTCCTAAATATTTTAATTTTATTTTTCACCAGGAGCGGGAATTAGAATGATTTATAGAATAGGTCAATATAAAATCATACTTTTGAAATAAATACAGAAACAATCTGGCAGCTTAGTAAAACTCAGTATAAAGAAGCATAGATTGTCAGCAATTAAACCATACTGAAAGTTGCTTAAATCTACATGCTGGCATGCCTACCGGGGCAAGAAAAGATAATGTTGATAGGTGCCAAATGGACATCACAGTTGGCCTCTAAGGCGGACCCTTTGAAAGTACACATGCTGTAAATTGGGAAGGAGGGGGCAGGTCAGGGCTAGGTTTTCTTTGAATCTTTTCTCTCAATTAAATTTTTAGATAGTGGATTGGAGAATTTTACAGTTATCTCTGAGTGAGACTAAACTACAATTTCAGCTTTCGGTCAGGTCGGTGTTATAAATGGTCTTTTAGAGATCAGAGCAGCACAATATTAGGTAGTGGGGAACATAAACATTGGAGGGATATATAATTAGTTCATTTCCTAGTTAAGAAGCATCTGGTTGGTTATCCCGGGAACAGGATGATGGTTCAGATAGGCCTTTGATTTGATCTAATATGCTGTTCTTTGTGTTCAGCGATTCTTGCCCAAAGTTGCTGAAAGTGTTGAACTTAGATGAGTAGAAATCAAGGACTGCATTTAACACAATGAAATTAAGTTCTGATGAGATTTGAGTTCAGAAACAACTGCAATAGGAAGACTCAATTAAGTTTTTCAATGGAAGATTTTCAAGGAATACTACAATTATAGGCTAAGTTGGAAAGTGAAGAAAAAAAACAGTCTCAGAAGACAAATCATTTCTATATTGCTACCAAGTAAACTACATAGCTGTGCCCACAAAATCACCAGGAATTGAACTTAATTTGAAAGAGATTTTATTCCTTCTCACCTTACTACTGGTGTTCCTTGGTCTGTCTCTAAACAGTAGGCAATATCTGTGACTTTGTACTTTGCTGTGTGATATAGTAGGTCAAATTTTCCATTCACACCCAGCTAGGGACCTCTATACAGGCAAATTGTCTTTTTTTGTGACTGGGGCACTATATTGGTCTTCAAATGAGGCTGAGCTTTGCAAAAGTTACACACGTGTGTTTGTTTTTGCAAGCTGAGAAGAATAGGGAAATTTCTGTGGAAAAGCCTCCCTTTCTTCCTCACTTACACATATTTAAATGAAACACCAGGAGCCCCTGGGCAGGCGGGCAGGCAGAGGTGTAAATAAGATCATAGGCTTTTCTTCAGTAAGGATTTAAGGGGAAGAGAAGAAAGATTAGGGGTTTGATTTGTTTTTTGTATGGGAAGATTTAAATGGAATTTTGCAATTTTATGAATTATTTGCATTTTAAGAGATTTATTAGTGATAATGAGAACTTCATTCTGGATAGAATTTGATCTCTCTCTTCACTGAAGGCTGCATTATTAGGTCAGATTAAATTTGACATTATCTTTGTCAGATTTTTTAAAATACAGAATAAACCAGAATGTTAAGTTTCAGTTTCTATTAGCACCGCAATCTAAATCAGACCTGGGCATTTTAGGGTCTGCGGGTCACTTCCAACCCATTGTCTGTCTCTGTCCAGCCTGAGGGGGGAGGGGAGGGGCAGTCACGTTGGTGGGGTCCTCCACAACAGCCCCGATT